TCTATCAAAAAACAGTCATTCACAAAAACAAACAAATAAAAGCTGTCATTAAGATGCCCTTCTGCCATACCCACCTTCATGTATAGATGCTGCATCTATAAACAGAGATACTCTTTGACTGGAGTAAGCAAATCTATGAGCTCCAGTGGCATTTGTATAAGCTGTTTGGTGCCCACAGTATCTACTGTCTTTGCATTTCTTAACTGTAAGACTTGAAGGCTGACAACAACAGCATCCTGGAAACCTGAAACACTTGCAACATCTACAGACAGGTTTGAAAGATAAAATATATGCCTTCACTTTCCTCAGATAGGTTTTGCAGTTATCTGACAAATACCTCTCCACCTTGACATGTCATTAATTTTTAACTTTTCCCAGCTAAAACACTCCCCTGTAAAGTATAACTGTAAAAATGACTTTGTTTCATTGCATGGAAATCTGTCATGCTATTGCGTGTCACATAGGATTTGTCTATAGACTCTCCGCTGGGTGAGACCTCTGGATATCAATTTGTGCTATGAAATGTATTGCCTTTGGGCTGCATATTCTAAGCTAGAGAGGATCCCAAGCGATTCTTCCTTTGCCTTCAGCTCACTAAAAAGCATCTTTTCATCTTAGATCTGTCACACATCGCCACCATGCTAATCTTGGGTAGGTCTACTGCAGAGCATTTAGATCTAGCCACAAAGCTATTTGTGCAGCATACTTTCAGAGACTGCACGGTGAAGAAGCACACTGTACCATCTCTTTCTGGAAGAATATGAGTATCTTGCTTGTTGAAAAGCACTGGCAGCATGGGTTAGGTGATTCAGGCAATGTGAAACCAAGCTGTTCTAGCACAGAGATGTTTTTATGCATTGAAACTTTTTGGTTGTAAGAAAACAGCCTGTTTTCTCTGACTAATTATTTGAAATGGATGCTCCACACAAACTGGATATATTCTCATTTTCTGATGGCTCTCTTTGTGAATGTCTGTGTAGCTTCTGTCATGCTCTTACCAGGCTCTCAACCCCTGGCTCTCCCTAGTCCCCCAGGTACTTCTTCCTTCACTCTTAATTTACAGCCTGCCCATTTTCAGAGAACACTGTTGAGAGGAAAATGAAGAAGTACATTTTGGCAATGGGAACCTGCCCTAGAGCCATTTACTGTTACTGGCCTCACACCCAAATCTGAGCTCCTACTATGTGCTTCCCATCGGGGCTTTTCAGTCAGTCATGTCACAAAGACTTCCTCGCCTCTGCTCTGCCAGGTAACAAAGTGCTCCTCTGTTGCTGAACCTGCTGCTAATCGAAGGGTGTGTAAGTGTAAAGAAGATACTTCACTATCTTATAACAGGTGTCAGAACATGTCTTTACAGAACGCAGAAGCAGGGTTAGGAAACACTTTTTGTTAGGCCAACAGCTGTGATAGGATCCTTGCCATGCTGAATATGTAGGACTGTATTCTTGCATTCAAAAGCCATGACAGGAACATTGACAGCCAGTGGTTTACTTGATAACAAACCAAGCCTTCAGCTCATGGAAATCAGTTTTGCTCCATTGGTTTCAGTTAACTATTTTTTTTTCTATGTCCACATGAGAAAATACTTTAACTATGCTCATTTATCAATTAATAGTTCAGTAATGAAGATGCCATCACCTCCAGAGTCAACGCAAGAGACAGGGCTATTCCCCCTCCATCCGATCTGGCATTTAATACAATCTTAACCAGATTTGCAGTGCCTTAAGCACTTGTGTATGTATAACGAACTTTCAGATCCATGCATGAGAGCCAAGCTGTGGTTCAGAAGGAATTCAGGGGCATTAAACTGAGGGCTTGCTCCACATGCCTTGCTGGCATAACTGGAGAATGTTAACTTCCTTCCCAAAGGACCGAGAGAAACAGCCCTGTCATGGGGCATCCTCTACCTCTGAGTGCACCTCTGTCTGCACAGCTTTCAGCAGCCCTTCCTTTTCTAACATCCTTCTTCGTTCCCAGTCAAGGAGAGAAAAGGAAAGCTAAAAGGAAAAGAGCTGCAGAGGTCAATGCTGCTCTTTGCTATCCCTTGCAAATCCAAACAACTCTGCGATCTTCAGCAAAAAATTAAGCTGGATTTAGCTAGCTGGGGAGAGCCTTGACTTCTGAATTCTTGTCAGCAGCCCATTCCTCCTGCAAGTGAGCAGGATCTCACTGCATCACTGATGTTTAGTGAAGAAGCTGTTCTATGAAGTTCCCTGCTTTTGCCAGAGGCTGCAAGGACAGTGAAAGGCTCAGCGGAGAATTGCTTGAGGGGCATTGCTTGAGGTGGGAGTGTTGCAGCTGGAGACTCCCCAGTGAAGGCATATATGAGAGGATTTCCTAACATCAGTCTCAATCTTCCTGCACTCATCTTGGAAACTCTTAACTCATTTGATTTCCGGACTGCTTAACAATCCATGAGTTTGAAAAGAAGAAGGTTGACATTAATATCAAGTTATCTGTTCAGGACCATGAAGCAGTAATTCAATTAATCCAGAGCGTGCAGACTTACATCAGACCTAATTCTAGCTTAAAAGAGGCTTATTTGGCTCACTCAGAAAAGCAAACATAAATTTTTGGTGTCTGAGAATGGGTTCTGTAATGCAGAACTGAACTAAGAAAATTTCACGGGTATCCATTATTAATCAACAACATTAACTCCTTAGCAGGTAGCAAGGCTACGTGTCCCCAGAGATACTGTCTGTTGTGTTGCCCAACCCCTATTAAAAAAACAGTGGGTATCACCACAGTAGTCAATTCTGCCTTTAGCTATGTGAACAGAGTACTTCCTTTCACAAAACCTTCACAGAATATCTCTCATATTATGAGAAATGGTATATAGTGGGAAAAAACCTACTTTGTCACTTTTGTAGCTTTGCAAATAATGCTTCTCAGGACTTGGAAAAAAATAAATTGACAGGGATGAAAACTCTCAATCTCATTTATGGGAAAATCGCTTTGTCTAGTCACTTTCATTATTTCAAAAATTACAGAAATGAGCATAATAAGTACTCATAATAATAATGTTCATAAGAAATGAACACTGGAAGTTTCCTGCTCATGACACAGACAGTCTTTACATTTGGCATACCTGGTTTTGTTCTTCTTACCATTGTGCAAATGGACACCTTTTGTAGGATCCAGTAATACAATGTGTAATACAATCAAATACAATACAATGTCAAATACTTCAGGGGCTTTGTTCACCAGTGGTCATTTTTTAACTACTTACTGATGTAGCCTAATTAGCTAGCTATTTCTTGAGCCTTGACTAAGTTAAGTGACAGAATTTACAGAAACTATACTTACCATTTCCCCTCTCAGAGGGTTAGTATTAATTTAGCTATAATAGTATCTTGCCACTAGTCAGATACTAGAGATACAGAATCATAGAATCATAGAATCGTTCAGGTTGGAAAAGATCTTAAAGATTATTGAGTCCAAGCACAACCTAACCATACCACCCTAACAAACCTCCGCTAAATCATGTCCCTGAACACCACATCCAAACGGGCCTCTTCTAAAGAGAGGATACTCACTGTTCATCCATTTGGTCTTCTTTTTTTTTTCTTCTTCTTTTCTTCTTTTTCTTCTTCCATTTGGTACTCTCCTCACAAACTGTATAGAAGATCCCAGAGTTTCTGTATGAGCGTTATCTTCCTGAACAGCTCGCCAGGCCCATCACTGATCCAATAGCATTGCTTTTGCTGGAACACCACAGCTCAGTTTGCCATTGCTGTTCTGTCATGGCCTTAAATTGCACCAGGGGAGGTTCAGCTTGGATATTAGGAATAATTTCTTCTTAGAAAAGTGGTGAGGCAGTGGCACAGGCTGCCCAGGGAGGTGGTGGAGTCACTGTCCATGGAGGTGTTCAAGAACCGTGTGGATGTGGCACTGAGGGACATGGTCAGTGGCATGGTGTGGATGGGCTGGCAGCTGGACTGGTGATCTTAATGGTATTTTCCAACCTTAATGATTCTGTGACTCTAAGCAGTCTTTACCCACGCAGTTACAGTAACATGCAGCTTCATTTTCAGCTTCACCTGTATTTAATACCACCATCCTGGAGGCCAAAGACTCCATGTGGGAAGAGGCAAGGAGTGCAGTCTTGGATGTTTTGCCTTTTCCCTCAGGCAGACACAGCCACTCTGTCAGACACAATTTTAACTGGTTGTTAACCATGAAACCTCAAGCATTTACCTACTGCTGAGGTGTTTCTTCTTTAAATAACAGCAGCAGGGAAAACAGAGAGATGGGAAGCTCTGCATGCCTTTGCAACAGACTGCTCCAAGACAGGAATGCATGCAGTGCGAAAGAGGTCTGGGGGCTTCAATGGAAATGAGAGCAGCTTTGGAAAGCGCAGATGTTCTTCCAGCCATTACTTGGTATCATCGTCAGGAACAAAAAATCTGTGTTTTGGAATTACCAGACTCACATTTCTTGGTTTTCTGGTGAAAGGGAGGAAAAAAGTGGGTACAGAAATAAAAACTCCAGATCACATCAGGATGCGAACAGCTTTTATAACTAATGGTGCAGCTTGCTATTTAGCTCATGGTTTGTATTGATAACTGTGTGGCTAAAGGGTTTGTTGCAGTTTTAATTAAAAAAAAGACTTTTAATTTAAAGAATGCTGCAGAAGGATGTTTTTCGTTTTATATTTTTTTCCAGAAAGACACCAAGTCACCACTCAAGAACGGGCTAAGTGCAGTCCTCATTGCAGCACTGCATGGAGCTCACCTCCTCTCACACACTGAACGGAAGCAGCGTTTGATCTGTGCCCCCAGTAGCCGGTCCACCCCGGTATTTCCGCACCCACATCCGAAGCCGGTAAGAAGGGGCCGCCGGTGCCCACGGGACCGACTGCCAAGCAGCGCCGCCCCGCGCTCGCCCACGTTTCCCGTACAGATCCACCCCACGACGGGCAGGGGCGGGCGCTGCTATGCAAATCACCGCCCCCAGCACCAATGGGCGGTGAGCTGAGCCGCGGGGCGGGGCGTTCCATCAGGACCAGCGCTGGCTTCGACGGCGCGGGCTGCCCGACGGCGTTTGCGGCTTCAGGGGTGGTGCGTTTGGTGCTGGAGGTGAGCGCTGCGCGGGGCGGGAGGAGGGTCGGCGTCTTCCGCGCTGCCGAGCTGGGTTCTCGGTGTCGCCGTTGGCTACAAGTGCTGGTGTCTCGCTCAGCATCGGACCCGTGGAGTGTGAGGAGCACGCTGCAGTTTGGTTTTGCCTGAGAGTAAAGGAAACGGCCCCGTGTGAGTCGAGAGGAAAGTGTGAGTTCGGCAGCAGGGAGTGGGCTGGAGGCTGGAGGCTCATTTCCATCTGTGGCTGTGGTCACCTATATGGGGCAGAGGGCATCGCTGGGTTTCTGGCACAGAGAAACGAGGGCGTTCTCAAAACCTCCTCGTCAGGTCTCAGCGCTGCAGTCTGCCTCGCCTGTCCTCCTGCCTCGTGGTGCTGCTGGGGGCAGCCGAGCGGGCTGAATGCGCTTGGCTTCGTACGCGAGGGGTAACAGCTTGTGGCGTTCCCCTTTTCCTCGGGCATCCTTGTGGCCAGGTCTGTGAGCGGGGCAGCTCTTTGGCTGCTTCCTATTAAACTGACATTAGTTTCTTGTCCTATGGAGGAGCGTTAGTGTTATGTGTGTCTGAGCAGTGGCAGCCGGTACTGGGGAAGGAAATGACTGGGAGAGTATTGCTGGCCTACAGCACACAGTGATGCTTCTTGTTCTTCTGCTTCAGGTGATATTTTTGGAACCTTAGATGAGAATGCAATTTGGAGGACGTTGGCTTTCTGTTAATGGTGCTCCTTGCTGTTTTAATGTTCTCTGGGTGTGGTGAGGCTACTGGAAGAGCACAACCTTGTTCAAGAGAACAGACAAAAGGTTTAACAGCCTAAAGAAAAACAGGGTGACACTCATCCTTACAAAAGGATGCTTTAGATGCTCAGCACTTCTGAAGACCATTTTCTTACCTCATGTTTCTCGCTGCCTGCCTTGTATGACCACTGCTCTGAAACTGACGCTGCATGCTGAGCCATAAGGCACATGCATATGGTGTTTTGGCTGAGGTTAAAGCCACAAGTTAACCTCTGTTGTCGTAAATGATCTTTATCCAGAAAATAAGTATGATAATCTCTCAACGCATTAGAATGCCACTGCATGCTGCCCCACAGTCTTGAAGATGTGGGGTGGTGCAGGCTTAGGCTCTGTATCTGACACCTTGTATTGTACTGTGTATGCAGTTTTTGGAGAGGGAAGCAAGAGAGCCTTCTGTGAGGAAAGACACGATGCTAACATAACTAACCTAGATCTGCTTCAAAGGAGAGGTGCTTGGTGATAATAGAAAGGGAAGAGACTTTCTGGGTGGCAAGAACCACCAGGACTTCCGTGGCTGCAAGGTAGCTGGCAGACCATGGACAGATAGAGTCATGGAGAGATTTAAAAGCATGGCCCAATCCATTCTGGGATGGCAGAGTGGTGCCCCCAAAGCAGGGTGTTCCTGTAGCCTGGTGGTGACCTCTGAGAAAGAGGTGTTCCTGTGGTGTCCTGGTGTTCCTGTGGAGAACTGATCCCATTTTATCCTATCACAGCTTGTTCAGTGTAGCTCACATGTAAGTCAAATGGATGACATTGGCAATAAACAAATAACCATTTCTTTTTATGAACTCCTTTTGTGCATTAGAGTGTGGTGGCTTTATGCCCCATCCCTTGAGGCACTGAAGGCCCCAGGGCCTGGTAGGTGGCAGCCCTGCCTTTGGCTAAGGATTGGATGTGAATGGGTTTTAATGTCCTTTCCAACCCAAGCCATTCTGTGATTTCTCACTGATCTGCAAAGAACAAACTTGTGTCCCTCTCCTCTTCCTTCAAGCTCCTGCTTTCTAAACCATTTGGAGACACTGTTCAGTATCCTAGACTTTCCTAGCTTGGTAATAGGTGCTGGATGCAATATTCCAACCAAGGCCTTACTGATACCGAGTAGGGTACAATTGGTGCTTCCCATGCCACCTCTCATATAAGTGATGTGTGGGATTTTTTGTTTTGTTTTGTTTGCAGTGGCTTTATAATGTGAACTTGCATTTTAGCTTGTAATCTACTATAACCCCATCGATGCTTTCCTGCTTTTAACCCAGGTATGCCCTATTCTCTATCTGTGCAAATAATTTGTTCTAGAAGTGTCATACTCTGAATTTCTTTTTATTTTTGGCAGCACTTGCTGTGACTTGCCAGGCTCATCCTGCATTCTAATTTTTTGTCCTCACCTCCACCATCAAATGCTTGCCTCTGCCCCCTCCAAGTTCAGTGTTGTCTGGGGGCTGTGAAGGCTCACGTCTGGCTCCATTGTCCAAGTTGCTAATTGAAATTATGGGTAACTTCCTAGACTGATGGAAGGCCATCATAATGTTGGCATATTTGAAAACAGTTATGACAGAAGGTAACTACGAAACGTGAAGGTGCTTGACCAAGTACAGCCTCCCTTATATTTCAGCTGGCCTATCAAAGCCTTTGATTCCTTGCTCATCCTTGCAGTGCAGAGGTGACAAGACACAGTGCAGAAATCTCTGAGGTAACGCTAATTTAACCTGATCAATTTACCTCAGCCCCAGATGCCGGTTCCCCGCATTGATGCAGCCTTGCAGAGGAAGCCCTTTCTGGGGGCACAGCTCCAGGCCTGCCCCTGGCCATGGCCATGCTCTGTGGCCATGCCACGCTGCTGGCAGGAGGGCTGCTGGGGAGCCAGCAGTGTGGTTCAGCTTCTGCCTTTTTTGCTCTGCTGTTTTGATATCTTCCGCTGGTTGTGTCACCATCCTGCTATCTCATCTAGCCTTCTGCACACAGTGCTCAGCACATCTCATTTAGACCCTGTTTCTATAGTTAATCATGGTATCACAGGACCTGACTTTGTGAGGCTAATCTTGTGTGCAGCTTCTTCTCTATCTGCTGAGCAATGAACAGGGAAGCAAGTCTAACCGATGTGGTGTAAGATTATTCTTGATTAACTTGTATCAACAAAAGCTGAGGAAAAATTCCCCAAGTACTGGTGGCACTGTTCCCCCAGTTACATCTGTACCTTGTCTCAGTGTCCCTGTTACTTTGAAGAGGCCTGTGAACACCCATAGGTGCCCAAAGTGTGGTGAGTGCTGTACTGCTGGCCAGCATGTCCTGGGGCTGAGACTTTGCCTGTGCGTGTGTGTGTGAGGGTTGCTTCCTGGCTGAATCTCTTTGGTCCAGTTTGAAGTGTGTAGGTTTTGCAGGAGGACCCAGAACTCAGCCTTCTGTACTGGCCCGTGTGAACAAACACCAGTAAGACACCTCATATTAAAACATAAAGGGATTTTTTTTTCTTTAAGTTGAATACTTGGTATCAGATTGTTAAAACTGTAAGCTCTAAATGTATGTATACTCAAAAAAGAAAAAAAAAAATCTGTTGTGCTAATTTACAAATACCTGTAGAACACTGCTTCTGACTGATGATCACATGCAACCTCGTATTTCCACGCAGATGCCAGCCTAATGTCTTAATTGTGCTTAAATACCATCTGGTAGTAGCAGTGGTAGTTACGTGCAGCCTGTACCCAGTTGTTTTGCTAGGCAGACCTGTGTCAGGTTTGCTGAGGTGATTCACCAGAGCAGGATCCACCTGCAGCACATAGTGATGGCATCACAGATTTCCATGTGCCATGACTCATCATGCTGTTCAGCTGCAGTAATTGCCAGAAATGCATGGATGGCCATCTCACTGTTTATGTTTCTGTATGACTATTTGCAAAGCCTGGGGAGGCATAGCCTATACTCCCTTGTCCCCCATCCTGTTTTAACTGAAGACTTGAGATTTGCCTGTCACAGGAAGACAGAACATGCTGCAGTAGTTAGCCTGTAATATACCACATGAGAAGGACTTAAAGGAGAGCAATGGTGGGATTTTTTTCTCTCTGTGATAAAATATATTCTCAAGCACAAGCAGCTCCTTGTAGTGGCACTGCCCTTTCAGAAAGCTGGGCTTGTTCACAGCTCACAGGCAGTAAGGGTTCTAGCAGTTGTACATAGTTTCAGAGCCTGAGGCTGATAATCATAGGGTTTCTAGAGTCCTTAGGGGGGGGGAAAAAAAGAGGTTAAATTTGGAGTGTATTTTAAACTTCTCTGTTTTCGTTCCTTTCATATATGATGACTGTTAGAGGGAGTTAGCAATTAGACTTAGACAACACATTAGAGTTCAAATAATGCGTGTGAAGACTAATAATTTTTAATGAGCCATGTCATGAAGATGGAGAAACCTTTTTGTCTGTAGTGCTGGTGTAGCCCCCCCCTTACAACCAGACAAAACCAAAGCTGGTTATAATTGTGTAGTAGCAGTGCTTGTGAGAAAAATGCCCAGAGAAGATGCTGAGAATCCATCTTATTGTCTGTGCAGGACAGAAGACTTGTCAGTAGTGATCCACAGCTCCCTAGCAGAAGTGTAGACTGTCCAATAAATAGTAACAGCAGGTATACATTCAACAGGCTGTTCTCTCTGATGCCAGGATGATGTTTAATTACCATGTAAACTGTGTAGTAGCAAGGTAAAACTTCAGATTCTTTTTCTTTTTTTTTTTTGCCAGCTTCTTCATAAAAATCTGAAAAATGGTATGCATGTTATGTGTGTGGCAACTTCCCATGTTGGTGTCTGGGAGAACCTGATAACCAGCCTCTAGGAAATGCTAAAATAGTTAATTCTGCTGAATACATCTGGGAAGTAGGAGACATGTTCTAGATCTCTGGATTTATAATATGCTCTGGTGCAAAAACTGAGTGTTGCTTTGTGCTGAATACCGTAGAAGAAATCTAGGTAAATCAAAGAAGCTCAAAAGCTATCAGCAGTTAAGCAGTTATGCCTTATTACTTTGAGTTAGAGTAAACAACCTATTTGAATGTTAATTTTTTTTTTCACACTATGCCTTTCTTACTAGCCTTTGTGGTATGAAAGAAAGCAAGGGAGACATGGAGATTCAGATGACTGTGTAAGTAGTCTACGGAGAAGGAGTTCTCCCTGTTTCTCTGAATATACCAGCTTGTAATAACTTCATGTGATGTAAACAGAAGTCAACACTA